CTTTGACATTGGCTGTAGCAACTTCTTACTAGAAATGTTGCCTGAAGCATGGGAAACAAAAGCAAAAATAAACTTTTGGGACTTCATCAAAATAAAAAGGTTTTGTACAATGAAGGAAGCAATCCACAATACTAAAAGACAGCCTACTGAATGGGAGAAGATATTTGCAAATGACATGTCTGATAAAGGGCTACTATCTCAAATCTATAAAGAACTTATCAGAGTCAACACCCCAAAAGCAAATAACCCGGTGAAGAAATAGGCAGAAGTCCTAAACAGACATTTTTCCGAAGAAGGCATCCAAGATTTTTTCTTTAAAGTTTATTTATTTTGAGAAAGACAGAGACAGTGCAAGTTGTTTGGAGGAGAAGAAAGAGAGGAAGAGAGAGAGAATCCCAAGCAGGCTCCATGCTGCCAGCACAGAGCCTGGTGTCAGGCTCAAACTCACAAAGCTGCGAGATCATGATCCAAGCTGAAATGAAAAGTCAGACACTTAATCGACTGAGCCACCCAGGTGCCCCCAAAGAAGACATACAGATGGCTAACAGGCACATGAAAAGATGCTCAACATCACTTATCATCAAGGAAATATAAATCAAAATCATGATGAGATACCACCTCATACCTGTCAGAATTGCCAAAATTAACAACTCAGGAAACAACAGATGTTGGTGAGGATGCAGAGAAAGGGGAACCCTCTTACACTGTTGGTGGGAATGCAAACTGGTTCAGCCACTCTGGGAAACACTATGGAGGTGGCTCGAAAAATTAAAAATAAAACTACTCTATGACCCACAATCGTACTACTAGGTACTTATCCAAAGGTTACAAAAATGCTGATTCAAAGGTGCACATGCACCCCAATGTTTATAGCTGCCATATCAATAATAGCCAAATTTTGGAAAGAGCCCAGATGTCCATCAGCAGATGAATGTACGAGGAAGATATGGTACACACACACACACACACACACACACACACACACTGGAATATTTTTTTGGTGATTGGAAAGGGTCCTTTATGATGGGATAATCAGAGCATATTTGTATCCCTGTGGTTATGATCCAGAAGAGAAGAATAAAATGATTTGAGATTAAAGAGATTCTGCAGAAACAAAATCTTTGGTAGGTGAGTGAGACTGGGGACTCAGAGTACTAGTCAAAGGGTCAGTCTTTAATTACAGATACTTGTAAAGGAGGAAACCAAACATGATCATACAGGTACATACACATGGGTGGGAGGTGTAAAGAGGAAAATCTAAGAGGATGCCCTTTCTTATTTCCCTTCCCTTTCTTATCCCATACTTCATGTTCTGTTCTAAGTGAAGTACATATGGGGTAAGATCATCAGCTGAGACTGAGGTGTGAAAGCCATTTTCAGAAAGGAAAGAAGACTGGGTTCAGAAGGTATAGTAGTATACTATGTTCTGGAAGGCATAGCTGAGTATTGCAAAAAATCCTAAATTACAAATTACTTTACCAGCTAAATATATTCATGAAAATTACCAGTGGGGTTTTAAGGTGTACATGACAGAATCAAATATCCTCAGAAAGAACAAGGAGAGAAAGAAGCTAGAACTGAACAGATAACCAAGAATTGTACCTTAAGACTACGTTTACATAGCATATGATTTAAAAAATAGGAGAAATTAATGGAAAAGAATTATTGTAAGGAAAATGGCAACTTGGGGGCATCTGAGCGGCTCAGTCGGGTGAGCATTCAACTTTGGCTCAGATCACGATCTCATGGTCTATGAGTTCAAGCTCCGCATTGGGCTCTGTTCTGACAGCTCGGAGCCTGCAGCCTGCTTCAGATTCTGTGTCTCCCTCTGTCTCTGCCCCTCCCCTCCTCTCTCTCCCCAAAATAAACACTAAAAAAAATAAAATGGTAACTTAAAAAAAGTTAAAACCTCACAATATCAAGATAAATTACAAATTTATTCTAAAAGGTAAATACAAATTATAAAATTATGAAGAAAAAAGTAAAATATATAAACTGTTACCTAAAGAGAGAGTAGAAAATTACACCCTAGCAGTAAAATCACTGAAAGAAAACAGAAAAGAAAAAGATGGATAGATTTTACTCCACAAATATTTTCAGTAGTTATGTGTCTACAAATCCTTACCATGGAGATATTTTAAAAATAACAAATTGATTAAAAGTTACTACCACAAATATAACAAAGTATCAGTGTCCCTAATCTATAAAGAATTCCAACAATTGAATTTATTATGTAAATTCAATTAATATATTTAAATGTTATACCTAATAAATTAGTAAAAACTGTTCATATATCTAACTATGAAAATGCGTGAAGTACACATATGTTGCTGGTAAAAATGCAAAATGTTTAATATGTAAAAAATCAATTCATCTTTCTACATCAAGAATATTAAATAGATTTTTGACTTTGGGTTTAGTAAATCCACTCACAAGAATTTATTCTAAAGGAAAAAATATCAGTCACATACTCAGAGGTCAACATTGCTGTTCTTACATACACACACACTGGATGTGTATCAAGGATGAAATAGTCAATTCTATTACAAAGCAGCCATATGATGTAATATTATGTCATCACATAAAAATCAAGGCTATTTATTCACATAAGAGTTAAAATTTATTAAATACTCATTGTATGCCAGGTGTTATTCTAAATGTCTTACATTTATGTTTACTAGCTTCTTTAATCCTCACAGTGACTATGAAGTAGGTCTTACTATTACTGCCAATATACAGTTTAGAGATTTGCAGATAGGTACAGAGAGGTTAAGAAACATGCTCAACGTTATGTAAGTGGCAGCGTACTAAATTCAAACCTGGGTAATCTGATACTGACCCCAGCCTCTTTGTCACTGCTTTATACAGCTGCCATCTAATGTAGGGGGAAAATTCACTATGTATTAATAAATGAAAAATCTCTATGTGCACATATCAACTCAGTGAAATGCATGCCTGCATTAAAAATGAAAGAAAATGTATTTAAATTGGTGGAGGTTATCTCTGGATTAGATTTGAGTTGGTTTTTGCCTATTTGTAGTATTCTTAATTTTATTAACATTTTTTCAAAACCTCCTTAGTATTACAGATGAAACAGTTCTGTTTTATTATTTTTTAATACTTTTTATTTATTATTTTTAAAAAAGAAAGCATTAGCAAATTTCCAAAAAAGGGCAATATTCCCTAAAATAGTGTCACTTAAATGAACCATGTTATTTTGAAGGTTCAAAACAACTTGCAGATTTTAAGTACTTCCAGACTTACAAACAAATGGTAGTAGTACAACATATTTAAGCCACTAAAAAAATTGATATATTGTCCTCTCCTTTTCAGCACAAATAAATACACATTCACAGACTCACACATCCACATATATTAAGTGTATGAACCCTTTGCAATTTAGCTACATTTCAAGACTGAAACCAATTGTTTATTTATTTGTCTGTTCTGTCTGTTTACTGCCAAGGAGTAAGCATTGCTTCCAATGGACCTTGATAATGAGATGCCCTTTCTATTTTATTCATTTCAGCAATATTTGGATTTTAGGCAGGTTAAAAAATTTCCATATCAAAAAAAAAGTCGAACAAAAACACCTGTTGGAGGGGCCAGGTAGGGCAGTTTCTGTAATGGCTGTTTGGAAAAAGGAAGTGAGAACATGATACAAATATATACAAACTATTACCAGTTTGAGCATTAATTAGGCTGCCTGCATGATCTCTTAACAAGGTCAGGTGGTCTAAAATTTGTGCAGATCTCAAGGTCTGCTCCCCTAATATGGGCCTTGCTTAGGCTTCCCACTTGAAATTCTTTTCTTTGGTTCATATGTTGGTCCAATATGGACTCCCAAGCCAGAGGTCATGTCCAAAATTGGTAAAAGTCCCTTGCCTCATTTAACTTAGTAGCTACATGAGAAAAATAGCAAATTTTAAACAGAATATGGATCACCTCTTATAACTTGCTTGATGGAAAAAAGGCGTAAAAGAGAATTTGATAATGAAATACGACCTTAAACCCATTAGAATGCAAGATTAAGAAGACAAAAAGTAAATATTGGCAAGGATGTGGAGAAAAAGAAATTTTTGTGCAATGTTGACGGGAATACAAATTGGTGCAGCACTGTGGAAAATATATGGAAATTCCTCAAAATATAAAAATACAAATATAGTTCTACTACTGGCTACTTATCCAAAGAAAATGAAAACACTAATCCATGAAGATATAAACATCCATGTTTTTACTGCAGCATTATTTATAATAGCCAAGATATGAAAGCAACCCACGTGCCTGTTGATAGATAAATGGATAAAGAAGATGTGATATATACACACACATACATGCACATACAATAGAATATTAACCAACCATAGAAAAGAGTGAAATTTTGCCATTTGTGATAAATGGGTAAACATTAAGGATATTATGCTAAGTAAATAAGTCAGACAGAGAAAAACAAATACCATATGATTTCACTTTTATGTGGAATTTAAAAAAAAAACAAAAGAAAGAATAAAGAAACAACAGAAATAGACCATGATATAGAGAATAAACTGGTGGTTGCCAGAATAGAGGGGGATGGAAGGATGGTTAAAATGGGTCAAGGGGAGTGGGAGATATAAGCTTCCAGTTGGGAACAAATAAGTCACAAGGATAAAAGGTACAGTGGGGATGAAAAAGAATAGATTCTATGCTATTGTAATGGTATGTATGGTAACAGATGGTAGCTACATTTTTGGTGAACATAGCATAAAGTACAGACTTGTCAAATGACTATGTTACACACCTGACTAATGTAACATTCTATGTCAACTGTACTTCAAAAATAAAAAAAAGTAAAACAGTAAAAATACAGACACACAATATCATTTGACAAGTTAGGTCACATTTCTTCATTTTTCTATTAAAAGATAGACTCTGAGTTATAGTGTTTTCACCATGAGTATTAGCAGATTTCTTCTGACTTTCAAGAGGAATGAATTTTGAGGGCTAGCCATAAGCTCTCCCTAGATGGTGGAGTGTGTCCATAGCATGTATTTTCCCAGGACTTTCTTCAGGACCCCCATGACCTCCTTATTCCTCAAGCTGTAGATAAGAGGGTTCAGGGCAGGAGTGACAATCGTGTAGAAAACAGAGATGATGTTGTCTTGCTTGGGGCTGTGAAGGGAACTAGGCAGGACATACATGAATGTGGCAGCTCCATAGAACATCCCAACTACAGTCAGATGGGAAGAGCAGGTGACTAGGGCTTTCTGCCTCCCCTCATTTGAGGGCATGTGAAGCACAGTAAACAGGATTAGTGCATAGGAAGAAATTACTGCAACAAGAGGGGGCATCAGGAAGGTCACACCCATCACATACACAAAGAGTTCATATCTGGAAGTATCTGCACAGGCCAACTTCAGCAAAGGTGGGATCTCACAGAGCAGGTGTCTGATCTTCCGGGCTTTGCAGAAGGGATATTGCATGGTATAGAAGGTATGTCCTAGAGCATTCATGAATGACAGTATCCAGGCTGTGGACACCATGAGCCAACAGACCCTTGGCCTCATGAAGACCATGTAGTTCAGAGGATGACAAATGGCCACATATCTATCATAGGCCATGAAGGCCAGTAGCAGGTCCTCTGCACCACCCAGCATCAATGCCAGAAACATCTGAAGGGCACAGCCTGCAAAGGAGATGGTGTTTTCACTGCACAGAAAATCCATGAGGGCCTTGGGAGTGACAACAGATGTGAAGAGGAGGTCCATGAGTGAGAGCTGCCCGAGCAGGAAGTACATGGGCACGTGGAGCCGGGAATCCATTGTGATGACCAAGAGCAGTAGGCCATTGCTGGTCAGGGCCAACAGATACAGGACAGTGAATGTGGCACAGAGCAGTTGAGGAGACCCACTGTCATTCAGAATCCCCATCAACATAAAGCCCCTGTCCAGGGTGGAGTTCCAGTACTGCATCCTGTATTCTCTCTTTAGTGGCCTAGAACCAAACACATTCCTAGTGAATTCTTGCTAAGGAGGTCCCTAGTTTGTAACATTACAGGCCCCTAATGAATCCAACTCCTGTTTGGGAAAGACACATTTGGAGTATTGTATCCAGGCCCAGAAAAGTGAGAAGAGACAAGGACTTGGGGTTGACAAGTATAATGAATCCAATGAGGCATTATGTTTACTATTAGACTCTGACTTTAACTCTTGATCTCTCTGTTTCTGACACTTTTATTTAAAAAATTTTTAATGTCTTTTAAAATTTATTTCAAAGAGGGAGAGAGAGACAGGTTGAGCAGAGGAGGGTCAGAGAGAGAGGGAGATACAGAATCTGAAGCAGGCTCCAGGCTCTGAGTTGGCTGTCAGCACAGAGCCCGACACAGGGCTTGAACCCACAAACCATGAGATCGTGACCTGAGCCAAAGTCGAACGCTTAACCAACCTAACAACCGGGTGCCCCTGTTTCTGACACTTTTAGTTGTATATCGATGAAAGAACCATCTGATTAGAGAGCAGACATCATAGTAATACCTAAACATTAGGAGGTCACTACGTGAAAGTATTATTCACGACATCAAACCTGGACAAGTATCATTCCAGAATGATTAAATTATCTCTCTCAATAGAAAGCAAAATTCCAGCACATAAGCCCTTGATTATTTCTGTACCTATGTTTTAAGTATCTGAACGGTCATATTCAGCTAAACATTTCGTAATAGAAAACAATATGGGGCTGCCCATGATACAATTAATTGACAATCTGACTCTTAACTGACTGAGCCACCCAGGTGCCCCGAACGTCTGACTCTTAATTTTATCTCAGGTCATGATCTCCTGGGTGTGGGATCAAGCCCAGTCAGGCTCCATACTACCAGTGTGATTCTCTCTCACCTTCTCTCTCTCTCTCTGTCCTTCCCACACTCACATTCTCTCTCTCTCTGTCTCTCTTTCAAAATAAATAAATAAACATTTTATAAGATAGAAAGCAATATCCAGTACCCAAGCCCTTGATTATTTCTGTACCTATGTTTTAAGTATAATGTTTGATGATTGATTTAAATACCCAGTGAGTGTCCTAACAGACCCATTCTGAATACAATACTCTAAAGCAGGTACATAAATGTGATTTCAACGAAACACTTCCACTTCATTTTCCATATAAGTTATGTCTGCATATGCTTGCAGAACTCAAGGCTGTAGATGTAAGCATCATGGGAAGAGCTAAAGCACGTCCACCTTAGTCACCTCTCTGGGCCAGCTCCACACTCCCAACTAGACTGAGAGAGAAGCAGTTCTAGACTGTCTCAGATTAGGGGCGGATGTGTTTGACATGGTGTTGGTTTTATGAGCTAAAACTTTTGGATCAATGACAACACAGGTGTGTTTTTTACAGGCTATGAAAACATGTGAGCCTGGGAGAACTCAAAAATCTGATAACTGATGAGACCCTGCTCAGGAAGATCCGAGTGTCTGCGTTTGGGAGAAAGGGTGAAAGGTGCTAGGAAAAGCAGCATGTGTTGTATGCTGTAATCAGGCTCATTAATCGTATCGTCCCTCTTGTGCACCTGACCCAGATCCTCACTCTTCGTCTTGCAGGACCAGGGTATGTCCACTGGATGCAAGGGCCGCAGGGACAGGGAGGAAAAACTCCTGTTCTGGAAAGCCACGTTTGGAATGTGGCATCTATCCCACCCCAGAAAAGTCAGAAGAGACAGGGACTTGGGATTGACAAGTATCAATGGCATGCATCATGGGAACTACGCAGATAAATCCAATTCTGAACATGTGTTAAAGAATCTGTGAGAGAAGCTTGATTCTCTAAATCTTTTCCCTATACTGTGGCTTCTATATTTGGACATTTCACTGGCTCTCCTTCTGGTCTCTTCTGGATCCACAAGATTCTAATGGTGCAAAGGTATTAGAGCATATGATGGGCATATCATCTGCTCTTAGATGGCTCTTTGGAGACATTCATTACCAGACAGGGGCAAAACAGGAGTGCTGAAGACAGGTACTGATACTTCCACCAGGAAACAGACACCCAGGCCTGGGATGTGGCAAGTCTCCGTCATTTTCACTGATTTTCCTTCATGTTTAGAAAACCTAGGATAGAAGGCATTAGGGTGGGGTACAGACCCCAAAGCGCTAGAGAACCTGGAAGACAGAGTAGCTTACGTTCTTAGGGACTGCTCTGGGCTCTGTTTCTCAACTCAGCATACCTAGAGGCTGCACACTTCCCTGACAGAGACACAAACCCCTTACCTCAGGTACTGAGAAGCCCAGCTGCCCAACCGTGCCAACTGCCCTGAGGGTTGTTTGAGGCTCAAGGATTTTCCTGGCGAAATGGGGAAAGGGTGAGGCTTTTCCAGCAGGGTCCAACTGGTTTAAGTTTTGGTAAGTTGGGTTAAGAGTCTGAGGAGTCTGACCAACATAGGTGTCAGGGCCCCTTCTGGTCCTTCTATTCCTCTACAGGTCTTCTCTGGAGATGCAGTGGAGACCGAGGGCTAGTTCAGTTCTGGGGTACTTTCTGTGGAGCTCTTGCTTCAGTGATGGATTTCCTGCTCTCACACCCACAGAGAATTCGAAAAAACTGTCTCTGTCACTCAGTTCCCCAGGTCAAGAACCCATCCAGCTCTGGAGAAGTGGTCAGAGTGAGTTCTTGGGTCCAGATGCTCACACTGCCATTTGCTCTTGCTAGGGTCTGGGAGCCAAGATGAGAGCAGCAGGAGTCTGGACGAAGTAGATATTGGAAGAGCTGCCCAAGGGAGACCCTGCTGTGCTTGGCCTCACTGTCTCTGGGGAGGCTGTTCTGGCTCCGTTCCCATGACCCCACCCCCTCTACTTTATTCCATTCCTACATTCACAGGGACTTATCTTCTCAGCTGAAATGGCCTCCCCTGGAAATGCTGGTCCAGGAAACAGGATGTTAATGAGTCCTCTAGGGCCTGTTTCCTGCCTGGTATCCCTGCTCTTTACTCTCACTAAATGAGCTCAGATGTCCCAGGTTTCTATTTCTGAATTTCTCACTGGATAGACCAAGAAACAAGTGTCTTTTTCCACGCCAGTGTTCTTTTTTTTTTTAATTTTTTAAAAAATGTTTTAGTTATTTCTAGGAGAGAGAGAGACAGCGTGAGCAGGGGAGGGTCAGAGAGAGAGGGAGTCACAGACTGAAACGAGCTCCAGGCTCTCAGCTGGTAGTCAGCACAGAGCTGGATGCGGGGCTCGAACCCACGAACCGCGAGATCATGACCTAAGCGAAAGTCAGACGCTTAACTGATAAGCCACCCAGGCGCCCCTCCTTGCCAATGTACTTAAGGTGGGATTTGTGTCAGCTATAGGATGCTCCCACAATGTCTTCTGTGTAGAAGTTTATCACTGTAATTATAACCTTGATTCTAAATTCTCATGTTCACTGCCTGTTTCATGTGCTCTGTCATATACATGTTTTTGTTTTACAAGCTCTCACTCCAACCTCATTCAGCTTCCAAATATAATAAAGCTTTCTCTGTTCAGACAAACAACAATTTGGATTTTCTTTCCTTTGGACTATATCTCTAAATCCCTTCCATTTTTTATCATAAATTTTTTTCAGAAAGCATTTATAATAATTGGGTCTACTTCTACTTTAATTGTTCATTCATTACAGTGAAGAGAACATGTGCCACCTGCTACATTAAAAAACAGAAATACTGATAGCACAACCCAATAAAATTGTATTTCTCAACAGTTTAATGCATATTTTTAATTTAGAGAGCTGTCCTTAACTGTTCTCTTCTATGGGGTTGGGTGGGGACCCAGGCTTTTCATTTGGTGGTGCCTATCAACGTCTTCAGTAGGTGATTCCCAGGTTGACAAGAATACTCTCCATCTGGGTAGTCCGAAAGGAAAGAGATCCTATTGCACAAAGTGTAGGTGTTTTTATGGTCAGACTTCACTTCATGGCACTTCTTGTGGCACACTTCACTTCTGCATTGCACTCCTCGGCGCATTTGTATCACCTCCTGTCAAGTGTCCTACATGATTGAACTGACCTACTTGTCTCAAGATCACCAAATCCTTTTTGCCAAATCCTGTAATATGTACTATTTTGTATTACTCAGTTTGTCGAAACTCACTAAATTCCCATGTTCCTCCTTCTTTTGGTGCAAAAGGGCTAAAGCTTTGTTTGTTCCATACTAGCATTAACATTTTGTTTCTTCTCATCTCTGTGTTAATCTGGTAGTACCATGCCAGCATATAAGGCCCAGAAGGTCAGGAATGAGTCTGTTTTGTTCCCAATCACATTTCTAGCTCATAGCATGGTAACTGCACAGGTAGGTACTCAATAAATGCTTGCTAAATTAATAAAGGGGTGAATAATGAAGGTTTCTACCACAGCTGCTCTTGAATTCCAACTAAAATATCCATGGGGGAAAAATCTATTTAGGTCCTCTGCTAATTTTTTAATCAGATTTTTTTGGGGGGGATTGAGCTGTGTAAGTTATTTACATATTTTTATATTTATCCCTTATTTAATATTATATATTTATCAGTATATAAATATATATTTTTATATTTATCCCTTAATTAATATATAATTTGCAAGTATCTTCTCCCATTCAGTAGGTTGCTTTTTTGTTTTGTTGATGGTTTCTGTCTGTGCAGAAGCTATTTATTTTGGTGTAGTCCCAACAGTTTGTTTTTGCTTTTGCTTCCCTTGCCTGAGGAGTCATATCAGAGTAGCTTATGTTGCTAAGGCAGATATCCAAGAGATTAATATCTATGTTTCTTGTAGGACTATTATGTTCAGATCTCACATTTAGGTTTCTAATCCATTCTGACTGCATTTCTGTACTGGTAAAAGAAAGTGGTCCAGTCTCACTCTTTTGTATGTAGCTATCCAGTTTTTCCAGCACCATTAATGAAAATTCTGTCTTTTCTCATATATTCTTGCCTCATTTGCAATAGATGAATAATATGAGTTTGTTTCTGGGCTCTCTATTCTGTTCCATTGACCTCTGTGTCTATTTTTGTGCCAGAACCATACTGTTTTAGTTACTATGACTTTGTAGTATATCTTGAAATCTAGGATTGTGACACCTCCAGCTTTGTCTGGCGTTTTCCCAAAGAACACATACAGGTAGCCAACAGACACATGAAAAGATTCTCAACATCCCTAATTATCAGAGAAATGCAAATCAAAACCACAGTAAGATATCACCTCATACTAGTCAGAATGGCTAGTATCAAAATGACAAGAAATAACAAGTGTTGGTGAGGATGTGGAGAAAAGGGAACCTCATATACTATTGTGTATGTGGGAATGTTAATGGATGAAACCCCTGTGGAGAACAGTATAGAGGTTTCTCAAAAAATTAAAAATAGAAATAGCATATGATCTGGTAATTCCAGTAGGGATATTTATCCAAATAAGTAAAAACACTATTTCAAAGACATACAAATAATGCTCAGATAATGGAAGCAACCTAAGTGTCCATCCATAGATTTAAAAAAAAAAAAAAAAAAGATGTGATGTATGTTTATATAGTGATATATAATTCTGCCATAAAAATAGTATCTTGCCATTTGCAATATAGATAGGCCTAGAGGGTATTGTGCTAAGTTAAATATATCAAACATAGAAACAAATACCATATGATTTCACTTGTAAGTGGAATCTAAAAAGCAAAACAAATGAACAAACAAACAAACAAAACCCAGATTCATGGGGCACCTGAGTGGCTCAGTTGGTTAAGCATCTACTTCTTGGTTTCAGCTTAGGTCATGGTCTCATGGGTCATGAAACAGAGCCCACGTCTGCCTCTGTGCTGACAGTGTGAAGCCTGCTTGGGATTGTCTCTCTCCCTCTCTCTGCCCTTCCTCTCTTTTGTTAAAAATAAATAAATAAACTTAAAAAAATCCATAAATATAGAGAACTGATAGTTGCCAGAGGAGGGGGAGTTGAGGGATGAGTAAAATAGTCTAAGAGAACTAAGAGGTACAAACCTTCAGTTGTAAAACAAGTAAATCAAGGAGATGTAAAGCACAGCATAGGGAATACAGTCAATAATATTTTAGATAGTAACAGATAGTGACTATATTTATTTTGGTGAGTACTGAGTAATGTATAGAATTGCTGGGTCACTATGTTGTACATCTGAAACCAATATAACATTGTATGTCAACTATACTTCAATAGTAAATATTTAAAAAATTTAAATAACAGTAAATAGTAATAATATCTATAATCCAATTTGTCAATCTCTATATAGTACCTTTACTCTGTAATTGTTAGAGTAAATATTTGGTCTGGTAATAAGGAAGTTAGTAAATAAATAAATAAATAAAATAATAATAAAGATTTAAGTGTATTTTAAAGCTGACTTCAGGTTAGTAAACTAGAGATAAGAAAAGTTATAGGACTAGATTTAGAAAAAATGTCCCCAACTCTATATTTTAATAAAGAACATATTTAAAAAAACAAGTTTTGCAGCACTCAGGTGGTTCAGTCATTTGCATGTTTGACTTCAGCTCCTGTCATGATAGAATGGTCCGTGAGTTTGAGCCTTCACATCAGGCTCTGTGTTGACAGCTCAGAAGCTGGAGCCTGCTTAAGATTCTGTGTCTCCCTCTCTCTCTGCCCCTCCCCCAGCTTATGCTCTGTCTCTGTCTCAAAAATTAATAAACATTTTAAAAAATTAAAAAAATAAATAAATAACAAGTTTTACTTCAAGTTTGGGAATTTAAAATTTGACATACCCAAATAATTTAGGCTAAGTTTTATTTCTGCTTAATTCCAAAATAAAGGGGCTTCCCAGACCAGAAAATGGAATAATATCATCTAATGGTACAGAAGCTAATCCAAGTCACAGTTTTCCCCATACCTTCCCTACTTCTTTAACTCCTTTACTCAGACACCCAGAAGACACACTTTTCAATTAACATCAAAGGACTGGACAGAGAGCATGCATCTGAAACAACCTGTAGCAGGGAAAACCTAATTTATAAAAAAAAAAAAAAAAAAAAATGAGTGTGTCTGGGTCAGAAGTTGACCCTCAGCAAGGATTTGAATGAAAAAGTTTATTTAGGGAGTGATTTTAGGTAAAATTAATGGGATGGGGAAGTGGGACAGAAAAGCAAAAGAGCAAATAAAGTTTGTGTCATCAAGCAAGTTACTGTGGGCAACTAGATGTTATTCCTCCTGGAGAACTGTGAGAAAGAGAGTAGAACATGTATCTCAGAGGTATATTGCAGCTTAGGTGTGAGGGATCTAGGGTATTACTATACCAACTGTCACCAATCATCACTTAAGTTTTGGTTGCTGCAGGGGACATTAATTCCCTGGGTCACTCTGGCCTTCTAGGCATGGGAGCAGAACTGGCATATCAGCCAAAGAAAGTCTGGATGCAAAAGACGCAGATAGTAATTAATGAAAGTCAAACTGCCCTGAAATGATAAAGGTCACAAGGATATCTGGAAGGCATTGCCCTAACTGCTATATTGTAAGACAATAATATTTAAGATAAATGACATTGTTCAAAGGTATAGTCTTAAATTTACTACTAGAATGTATAAAATGATGAAGAGATTTTAAAAATTGTTGAAGAATGAGTCTAATGGAGAGTAAATAAATATAACATGGTATATTATTTTTAAATGGTACTACTTGACTGAATTTCTTAGAATTTCAGGTAGATTATTGCATTTATACTACTGTAATAGGACAGAAATTTTATCTAAAATCCATGGAGGTAATTTTCATGTACCTGCAAATTCTAAACATTAGGGAGAACTTACGTGGAAGTGATAAATAGATGATTTATAGGCAATAAATCTTAAAACCTCCTATGGTATAAGATAGCTCTAAGCTGGTGGAGAGGAATACTTTGAAGTTATTTTTACTCTTCCTTCCATGAGAAAATAAGGTGCTTCCCCTCACCTTAAGTTAACTGACAAGAGCTTCAAAATTACTTTTGGAGAACTTCATGTGTCTTATCTTGAATTTCTACAGATTCATATCTATTAGAAAGAAGGTTGGCAGGATCTTTATTCAGATTCCTTTTACTGGGGGGTTAGTGAAATGTATAAGGAAAAAGAAACCCCATTCAAAGCAATGAGACTTATTCAAGTTCCTCATGTATATGAAGCAATTTTAATTTTTTATTACCTCATCACCACTGCATGCTTTCTTGAGAAAGTGATTGAGAGAGAGAGAGAGAATTCTGAAAGGATAAAATTGACATGTTGACAGGACTTATTCCTTGAGGGGGAATTATGTGTGATTTTTTTTAATACTTCTCACTTTTTTTAAGTACTTTTCATAATCAGAAAGGGAAACATTTAATTTTATTTTCTGAGGTTGAATTCACCTGTCCTCTCTACTCCCTCCAAAACAGTGATAACTTTGAAAGCACTCTCAAACTTATTTGTATGAGAGACTGCAGACAGCTACAAAAATGAGGAGGGTATGGAAGATAATTAGGTGACAGATGAAATTGGCCTAAGATAAAGTAGTACTTAGTAAAAGGGTGAGAAGGAATCAGATTCAATATTAGTAGAGAATTCTACACAGTCAAGCTTACTTGTCACAGACAACAGACACACATACACATGCAGGCAACTGTACATACTTCCACACTCTTTCATACCTGCATGCACTATGCATAAAATCATCCACCAAAAAGTGAAGGAAAGAGAAAAGAGAAAAAAGAAAAGAATGATTTAGGAAGGCTCATGATGCGATACAGTTAAATTCATTGTAAAGAGGGCCTGAAAGTTACAGAAACACTGTAGGATTCGATCACTTTTAACTGGAAATAAGGCAGTTGGAGGTAGTGCATCTCTGGGTAGCATTCCATAGATCCCATAAGACATCCTCATGTCTGAAAATAATGCTGCCTTTTTTACCAGTCACTGTTGATTTAGTCAGAAATGTGGAAACAGAACCTCAGCAAGCCCGTAGGTGACTGTATGACAATTTGGGCTTCCCAATTCATAACAGGTAAAGGATGCTAGAAATATGTTCAGAAGGATTAATCAAGAATTTTTCCCTTGGTCCAAAATTTCAAGAGTGAGTTTACTTTGCTAGGAAAATATTTCCCTCAGGGAAGAACTGCAAAAAGGGGCCATAGGACAACAAAAGAGTGCAAGACAGAACATGGCTCTCTGTTGTCCCAGAGGTAATGAAACCTTTCAAGACATACAGTTTTACATATTGTGAGGTACTAGACACAATGTTTGCACTGAATAGGCATTTAATGAATATGTTTGGAGAGGAAAATCAACTGGGGCATATAAAGTGAGGGGGGGAAATGGATGAGGATAGTAGAGCTATTGTAATCACAATCCTCCAAGTACTTAAGAAAAATATCAGAAATCACTGCCTATGAAGGTAGATTATCTTCTAACCAGTCTCCTGAGAGCTCCCTTCACATCCTTGTTCCTCAGGCTATAAATTATGGGGTTCAACATGGAAGTCATAACTGAATAGAACACAGAGATGACTTTATCCTTTTCATTCATTGTCTTGGAATTGGGTCTCATGTAGGCAAAAATTCCAGAACCATAGTAGAGAACGACAACAGTGAGATGAGAGCCACAGGTAGAAAAGACCTTGAGCCTCCCCTCTTCTGACTGCATCTGAATCACTGTTGAGATAATATGCCAGTAAGAGACAAGGATGAGGGAGAGAGGTGCTAAGAGGATAATCACACCCATTGAAAAGAGAGCCATCTCAGCATTGTAGGTGTCTGCTGAAGCCAGCTTCAGGAGTGCAGGAGGTTCACAAAAATAATGATTAATTATATTTTGTCCCTGGTAAGGGAGACACAGTGTAAATGCACTGTCCACTGAACATACAAATGCCCCACTGATCCAAGACACTATGGCCAACTGGACACACACCCTCTGGGTCATGACAGTGGAATAATGCAAGGGCTTGCAGACAGCCACGTAGCGGTCATAGGACATCACTGCCAGGAGTGCACACTCTGTACACCCCGCTAGAAGGAAGACAGTTATCTGCAGTGAGCATACAGCAAAGGAAATGGTTTTCCTTTTCACGAGGAAGTGGACCAACATCTGAGGAATGATGCTTGTAGAGAAACAGAGGTCTGCAAAGGACAAGTTTTTGAGGAAAAAGTACATGGGAGTGTGAAGTCGAGAGTCAGTTTGAATAAGGATTATTATAAGCAAGTTTCCAAGCATAGAGAGAAGATAAATGGTAAGGAAAACACAGAACAGCAGGATCTGGATCTTTGGATCCTGTGAAAGTCCCAGCAAGATAAATTCAGCCACAGAAGTTTGGTTTCCTTCTCCCATTTATGTTTATTCCTCTTTACCTGTCATCGGAAAGAAAACACATGCATTCTGAATGTTCAGTTTTCACAATTTTTATAAACAAGCACAATGATAACAAGTGCATGTTGTTGGACTACTGGCTTCAGATGCTTCTTAGTCAGTGCCAGTTGGCATTAGGAGGCATATTGTTGTTGCATAGTTTTTAAGCATTGATCCATTTGGTAGGGTGAGTATCATACTTGATATGGCTTCTCAACTAATACTGATGTCAACATATTCACATATTGCTAAATTATTATGAAGTTTATCAGGGAATTGTCTTTGGTTCAATTTAATTTTTTTTCTGAATAAACATTTTGTATTTACCTGGATCAGCAGTCTGAGAATGAGGTGAACTTGTTTAGTCAATAAACCACTTTTGCTTTTATAATTAAAAATCAAAACAAAAAGGTCAATGATAAACTTGTTCATAATAGAGCAGAAGTTTCAAATATGGTTTCGGGGTCAACAGATAAACTGCAGCTATTAGTTCTTGCCTTTTTCCCATAGCATCTTTATTTTCTATTTTTTTTAATGTTTATTTATTTTGAGACAGAGAGAGAGTGTGTGTGAGCACTCGGGATGGTGGGTGGGGCAAAGGGAAAGGAAAGAGAGAAAATTCCAAGCAGTCTCTGGGCTCTCAGCACACAGCCTAATGTAGGGTTCAATCTCATGAACTGTGAGATCATAACCTGAGCTGAAGTCGAAAGTCAGATGCTTAACCAACTGAGCCACCCAGGTACCCCTTCCATAGCATTCTTAAAAGAGGCTTCCTAAGTAGTGATCCAAACAAGGTGAAGGAAGAATAGAAAAATATATATTCATGGATCATAATCCTGGCCCTTGTATAAACATTTCATGTGACTAAAAGGAAAAGTAGCATGACAAAATGTGACATTCAGAAATGTATTTAATAAGACTTGAGTGTCCAAGGCCCTTTTCAAGGTGGAAAACTAGATACTAGTGAATTTTACAGCTCCATAACACCCAGTTTCAGCTCACCTTGACCTCAGCTTCAGCTGTAGTGGACAATTCTGACTTGCATGGCACTGCTGACATTCTACTTCAAGAACTCCCTACCTTGTATTTTAGCATTCTGCCCAAGATGTTGGAAGTATGGGCAAGTTAATGCCCTAAAGGCAATCTTTAACCAGAGGGCAAAGAAAATTGATGAATAAAGACACCAGATATTTCTGGGAGGCACTCTATGATTCTTACAGGTTGAGCTCTATGGAGTTAAGTCCTCATTGTCTATACTATATTTATTATTATTACTATTATTATTATCATTATTATTATATCCTCTGAAGGGCTTTTTCAGAATTTTATTTTACATGAATTCAGAATGAAATTTGAATAGCACAGATACACTGTACATCTATTTATATACTGCAGCCCTCTAGAGAACCACAAACCATTGTGATATCTAAGATTTCTTTCTTCTTCTAAGAATTTTGAGATTTATATTGCCCCTATAGAGAATGCATGGTCTAGAGTAACAACTTCAATAATCCAAACTTCATTGGTATTTAGTTGTTTCCTGTCTCACTCTTACTGTTTCCTTACACCACTTCCTGGAATCACTTTTCCAATAAGCTATCTGCACCAAAGTTCTTTTCTTAGGCTCTTCTTTCAGGAACCTAAACTAAGAGAAATATATGACCTGAGATAGAGACCTGATGAATACAATATGACAAACCTGCCCTTTTCAACCAAGGAGTTCCAGTTGTGTCTGATAGTAATGACCAACACTGAATGCTCAGCATGTGTCTGGCATAGTTCTAAGTACTTTATATGTGTTAGTTTATTTAATCTTCACAATAATCCTATGAGGAAGTACATTTTCAATCTCTACTTTACAGCTAAGGAAATTAAAGGGTAGAAATGCTAAGTAACTTACTAGTCACACAGATATCATTTGCCAGAATTGGAATCCAAACCCCTAGAGCCTTGTTCTAGCATCTGAGCTTTTAAATTTTCAATCTTATTTCAGTCACAATTCTAATTGCAGCAGCTAGCACTGAAAAATCCAATCATGTAGATGGACTCCACACACAGAAATCCAAACAAAGTTCAAGAGACAAAGGAAATTATCCTCAATCCCAAACATGTTCATAAATGACTTGGCTCCTAAAGTTGGCTGAGGTTAAGATTTTCACATGTTGTCAATTAGAAAATAAACCAGAAAGAACTAAGACTTGTAGTAAGTTTCCAGACAAATTTTTGAAGTTTAGGGAGGAGATTTGTAATAAAAGAGAGGATTCAAGATCCAAGTAGAACAGCCAATCAGATTTAAGGAGCAAATGGCAGATCTGTTAGGAGAGTGAACATGATGCAAAGTTCAATTTGATTCTGGTGCTACTGCTGACTATAAATTTATCATTAACACTTAGATTACTAGATTATATTTGTAATATAGAATATTTGGATTTGGTAAGAGATACAGGAACCTAAGTATCAGTATAGGATCTTGTACACGGGGTCGCAGAGCTCACTACTACTACTACTACTACTACTACTACTACTGCCACTATGACTACAACTGACTACAACTACGACTGCTACTACTACTATTCTAATCATAATAATAACAACATAGACTCAAGAACTTACATTCCATGGCACTTAATATATTCCAGGCATCTTTATAAGCATTTAATATTTATTAATTTATTTGAGCTTCAGAAGAGTCTCAAAGAGGTACACTACTAATATTCTCATTTTATAAATATAGGTTCTGAGGGTAAGTGAATATATTAAAAAGAAAAAACTTTCAGCTACAGAGATAGTAAATTATTGAATCAGGATTCAATCCCAGGTAATCTGATTTCTAGAACCCAGATCTGGTATTGTTCTACTATATAGGAATACAGATTCTATTTTTAGAAATCCACTCTGGAACCATGCTCTGAGTCTGGAATTAGGATTTGGGGAATGTAAGGCAGAGGCTGATGGTATACACAGAAAATAAACAAATATGTTATTTTTCTGTAGTGTGGCATCAAGTGGACAGGAGGCTAAGCAGTGCAAATATCTGCAACTTCTTAATATTCCTCAAAGTTAGTTTTCTGTTCTTCCTTCTTTACTTACATACTGTTCTTTATGGATCTCATCTAAGTCCATTGGCTCAATTATCACCTATATCTAGACTGCCTCAAGTCATCTGCCAACTGACCACTATTCTAAGCTTGAATTCTACATTTTCCTTTTTTTCTGGATATATTTTCAAGTTTTTATTTAAATTCTAGTTAACATATATGGTAAAATTGGTTTTAAGTGTAGAATTTAGGAAGTCATTACTTACATACAACATCCAGGGATCATCATAGCCAGTGCCCTCCTCAATACCCATCACCCATTTAGCTCATTGTCTACCCACCTCCCTCCACCAACTTTGTTCTTTATAGTTGAGTCTCATGGTTTGCTTCCCCCTCTTTCTTTTTTTCCCTTCCTCTATATTCATCTGTTTTGTTTCTTAAAATCCACATATGAGTAAAAAACACATGATATTTGTCTTTCTCTGGTGTACTTATTTCACTTAGCATAATACACTCTAGCTCTGTCCATATTGTTGCAATATTTACAAGAAAACATTTTGCCTCTGCCTCAAAATCAACATATTTGGAATTTAATTTTACTCCATAAATCTTTTTTTTTAAATATTTTTTTATTTTTATTTATTTCTAGGAGAGAGAGAGAGAGAGAGAGAGAAACAGCGTGAGCAGGGGAGGGTCAGAGAGAGAGGGATTCACAGACTGAAACAGGCTCCAGGCTCTGAGCTGGCAGTCAGCACAGAGCCCGACGCGGGGCTCGAACCCACGAACCGCGAGATCATGACCTAAGCGAAGTCGGACGCCCAACCGACTAAGCCACCCAGGCGCCCCTCCATAAATCATTTTTAACTTTAGGGATCCCATTCCTAGAAATTGCACTGTCATTTTTCATAAATATCATGGCCTAAAAATATAAAATTGGCTTTGACTTCTTTTATTCTCCTTGTTTTCACAAGTTCATCAATCATCAAGTTCATTCTTTCAAACATCTTTCAAATCTCTAGCTTTTCATTGCCATTATCATCCTTGCTAGTCTAGTATGTCATTCAGTTCTGCTTGTATTATTTCAATACCCTTCTAACGTGTTGCCATACCCTAGAATCAAACATCTTGTACTCTACTAACTGATAAACCTTCCAAAGTATATGGTTTCCTACATCCAATGAAATAAACTCCATATTCTCTAGCTGAGCATTTAAATCTTATCTCATGCTTATCCCAATTTTCTTCCTATTTCTGCCTTAAAAGTGTCTTTGTTTCAATGAAATAAAATTGTTAATAAATTATTGCTATTAGATTCTAAGAGCTTGGTAAAGGAAAAATAAAACAGAGATAACAAGAACAGGTCATATAATTATATCTGTTAATAGAAAATAGTTTAAAAATTATAAGAGAATATCATGTGCTCATTTAGAAAAAAATGTTTAATTTCTAGAAACAAAAACCAATTTTTAAAAATTTCTGAATTACAAATTTTGAAAAAAAGGAAAAAATATAAGGAGACTGACAACCATAGCAAATATTTTAAAATATTTATAATTGATAAGGCCCTGGCACATATAGTTTTACAGATGTATTCCATATAAACATCAAGGAACAGATAATTCTTAACATTTAAATTATACCAGAGGATAAAAAATAGGATGTTGAAAGTTTTAAGAAACAAAAACCATCTCAAACTTTTTGAAAATAAATCTATTGCTCTTATAACTGATAAGGGCTGGATACAGAATAGGATTTATCCAAAGGTTTAACATGACAAGAAGTCAGAGTTTTCTTTTATTTCTTTTTTTTTCTTCATTTAAAATTCTATCATCCTAGGTGTCACCTTTATCTTAAGAAAGTCTCCATTTATGATCTTAAGATAATTACAAAAAGCTTCCAGTGTTACTCCTTGCTCAAGTATGAAGAAGAGACAGAACATATTTG